TTTTATATTTATCCATGTGTTCAATCAGTTTTTCTGACTCACGACAGCCCTTGCCACGGCACACTCGGAAATGGGCAACAAGCTCATCAATGTCGCGACTACCGAGGCGCATCCGCCGCTCGGGAATGCGTTTAGGAAGCTTGGACGAACGTGGCATAGCGTGGCTGATCTGGACAATGCACAGGCGATAAGCGAATGCGTCATTCTTGGAGACTCGCTTGGATATCAGGGGATGAACGCGCGGTCTGCCAAGGAGACGTTGCTAATGCGTACTGGTGTTTTGGAAGAATACCAGAGTGCGGTCAAAACGACGATATCCAAGCGTCGTCAGATTGAGCGTTTAAAGGCGAGCTCGAATATTCGACCAGAACGTGTGGATGAAGCTTTAGAAGAAATTGAAGAGGTGAGTGCTTCATAGTGCCCTCCTTTTTTCATGGAATATTGTATTCATGGTTTATAAAATTAGGCAAATCGATATGAACAAATACTGGCTAAACGCGCTGAGGGTATCTCGCAAAACTTGCATCGCGCTTTGCACACGCATAACCAGTATGCGAATGACGATATCACCACCGCGCTCATCGAGCATGCTCGTTCGTCTATCATGTACGAGAGGCAACTCTTGCGTGAATTAGAAGCTCTTAGAGGCGACATCAGCAATGCGGCCAAGAAAGTTGTTCCATCCGCCAACGGGGCACCTAAACCTACCATTGTTCCTCCCCTCGAAGATTACTCCGAACTACCCCATCCTGCGCCTGCACCGTCAGCTCCATTGTCAAACGGCTTCCATCGACCCGCTCAGGTGCAACCTCCTCATACAGCGGCGCTACCATCTCAAAATGGGTTCATTCCCCACAAGCTACCGGGACAACAGCCGAGCAGTTACAATAGCACGCCAACTCAAAGTCCGCCACCTTCTCCTTTCCCTCAAACTCCAATTGGGAGGCAAGATCCTTTGTCCGCAGCGTCTGCGCGTTCGTTTGCACCCGCGCAACGACCGATGTCGCCGTCTGCCTCACAGCAATTCGCAAGGCAACCCTTACCTCCTCAGTCGCCTGGCGCAGGTCCGTCATCTCCGAGCATCCCGTCTAACCAAAGCACGGCGCCCAGGCCGGCGTCAGACGAACCTCCTCTCGGTGGCCGCTTCGTCGATGGCACGAAATCGATGTTCATCACCAAAACGACGTCAAGCCCGCGTCCTTCACCGCTTTCGTTTTCCTCTTCCGTGTCGAATATCGCGGGATCAAGTGCAAATGCACCGTTTGATCCTCTCCGAAGCGATTCATACCCAGTTTCGTCACCTTTACAAGATTCCAGCCCTCGTGCGCCTTCACAGCAACCCTCTCGACCGCAAGAGACCGACCCCCTTGGTAACATCAGGCCCCACCAGATGTCTGCATCTATGCGCGTACAACCGATGAGGCCAAGGCTTGATGCACGCGAGGCAGCTAGCAAACTTGCAAATATGTTTTGAATAATGGATACCTCTGACGCTTTCATTACTGTATTTCCACGTCAACACTATGCGCAGCAGGCCCCTTTTCAATATGGCACGAATAAATTAATGTTGATGTGAAAATTATTTGTTACAATTGTGTTTGGTCAGAGAACACTACGGAAGAAGACTTTTTCCTGCCATCGATGAGATGGAATTTTTCCTGTCTTCCATGAACAAATTCCCAGCTTTGTGACTTCTCCGACCAAGCGACATTCTCTTCCTGAGCGAATCTCATCGTCACGTTGCGCTCTAGAACGAAATGGTACGCGTATAACTCGACGCTGTAGTAAGTCTTCGGAAGAATGGGGAGTTCTCCTAAAACTGGAACATATTGAGGGAGATTAAGAAACCCTGTTGGGTTCAATTTCAGCCCTGATAATGGATATCGGCGAATAACTATACAAAGGACATACCCATCACACTTCCAGCATCATGACCCCAGTCACCGATGGGATGACAGTAGATTTGACCGTCAATTCCTTCCAGCTCCATCCGAGCTAGACTTCGGCGGAGAACAGTGTTTCCAGTGAGTCCAGGCCTCATATTGTCCAGGACGATTTCCTGCATGCGATTGCTTTTCTTCAGCCCTTCTTTAAGACCATCTGGAGCATCCGTCTCCGCTTCTTCGCCACTTGTTTTCAGGACGTACGCCAGGTGTTGTGTGTCGGTATTCAGGCGCATGGCAGTTATTCCGAAATCTATGTGCAGGATGTCTCCTTCCTGGATGACATTCTCCGTTCCTTGCCAACCTGGAAAAAAGCCCTCGTCTACGACCGAGATTCTAGGCTGGTTCCAGGTGGTTACGTTGAGCACTTGCATCTTTTCACGGAACCACCAACTTAAATCCTGCACCCGGTAAACGTGAGTAAGACGATCAAGATGAGAATCATCATAGAGGAATGTACCTCGGTGGTAGTTACTCCAGGTTGAACGACTTTGTGAGAGAATCCCTCTTCGAGCATGGCCCACACCGTCTCTTGCATTTTGCGGTAATATTCTATCTGCCCAGGGACTTTTGTCGCCACGAATTCTATGCTAAGCATAGGTTCATTCACTGTCTTCTTCATCCAGTGATCTCCGAGTTCTCGCTGAAGTACGGCATGTTCTCCAACATGAAGACCTCCCGCAAAGGCAATGTCTTCATCAGTATTAACCACAATGCGATCTGGATCCACCTTCTCGAGCGTAGCGAGTAGCTCTGGCCAGACTTGACCCGTGTTGTCGACCCACTTCAATGGGTTCGGTGCTCCTGAGAGCGAGGGCTGATCGGCGTGGAACAGAAGCACGGTACGCCGATGGGCATCAAAGTCTGTAGCATTTTTGATAGACCACCAGATGGTATCCTCCGCGTGTTCTCGTTGACAAAGCTAGTTTAAATGCCAAATGAAATCCAGAACGATGAGAGGCCAAAAGACTTCAGCCCACCAGCCATGCTTGAGCGTTGTATTTCTTGAGTAATGAGGGTATCTTCGCAATCCTTTCTGCAGTCCATTGGTCTTGTATTAAAGCACGCTCGCGCAAAAGCGGCAGTGGTTGATATAGTGCTGGACTGCGGGGATGCAGTTGCGCTACAGCAAAGCCACAAGCCACTGAAACCAACGAATAGAAAGTCAAGGAAAATTGAGTCATGGTGGTCTGAAAGGGTTGGTTATCTGTGTCGGCAGTGTTAAGACGTTTCTTCGCTTTTTCCCAGCGGCTGCCATGGTGGAGAGCGAGCTCGACTTCGAACAAGTTCAAGAGTTCCCGATAAACCGGGCCGGCGGTTATCCGGCACTCGTAACGCGGAATCTGGGGATATTTTGAATTACATGTGCCAGTGCAAGTACGCCCCAAACCTCCATCTACTATGACTGGCACAAAACCAGGAGAGTCTTCGACACAGCCTTCAACAGAACATGAGCCCGCGCAGCTTTCTTCGGACTCAGTGCCGAGTGACGCGTCCTCAAATGTCCAACCAAAGGGCCACGAACCCGAAGTGCAGCCTCAACTAGTAGCCGAATCAGCCCCTCAAGCATCACCAGCTCAACCGGAAGACAGAGGACAATTGCTTGCGAGAGCACGTTCATTCCTGACTTCCCCTCAAGTCCAGTATCAAGATATTTTTGCGAAACGCGCATTCCTAGTTGAGAAGGGACTCAATGAAGCTGAAATCGAGAGCCTCCTCCGGAATGTGGTATTTGCATGTCTATTCCGGTTCTCGCTTTAGCATTCTTAATGGACTATTGTAGCCTGTTCAGCCTCCAAATATCCCTCCTCGAACGTACCCACAGCCTCCCCCGTCACATCTACCCGTGCTGCTTCTTGGCCTAGCACGTCTTTTCTCCTGGCTGGCAGGCGGTTCTGCAGCTCTTCTACTTATTTATTACGTGCGTTTCGATGTTTTACCATCACAAATCATTCACTAAAAGACGATCTATAGCGATTTTTCCTTCCCAGGATTGCACAGACATCGCTTGCGCGACATTCATTGAAGGCGCATCATCTCACACTGTTACGGCAGCTCACCACCTCGCTCTCGTCGTTGAAGGAATCACAGTCTGAATCATTCTCAGTTCTGCCTCGCTCTGATCCGTTTAAAGAACCACAGAAGTATTCGGAATGCAAGTCGGTTGTCGAAATTATCAAAGTCTCCCGCGAAGGAGAGAAAGAGCCAGACTTTTCTGAATTACCAGTAATTTCTATCCTACGTTGTGGAATCAAAGACCTCAAAAAGAAACCGACTACGGAAGAGCTCTTTAGATTCCTCGAAGGACAGATCCCCTGGCTTCTCACTGAAGAAGGTCTACAATTTGAGGTGAGGGATTGTTCGAACTCGAGATCGCAATTTGTGTTAATGTAATGTTGACGGCATCCTTCAGCAAAAACTATGGGAGACTCTGTCCACCTGCCTATTGTTTGGCAAGGTCACCGCGTCGTCGTCTTCCTTAAATGATACCTCAGAGCCCCACCCGCCTACCCAATGGGAGTACATTCCACCGACACCCGTTAGCCCTCCCCCTCTGGTGGAATCCTTGGATAAATTATCGCAGGAGCTCCCCAAAGACGTCAAAACCCGGAAGAGTCCTTTCCAGTACACTCTCCAGTCTATGTCGGACTTTACGGGATATCTCAGTACACAAGTTTACTTGCCTTACCGACCGCCTCCCGTCGGAATGGGTCTGTCGAGTAATAACGGTCAAAACACGCTTGAAGAAGAGCTGCGAAGGGAGATTAGGGCATTGAAAGGATTGGTTTTGAATAGGTGAAATCGTATATCCTTCATTGCCTGGTAGTTGCTGACTTGAATATCCTTTCAGACGGTCGTTTATGCCATCTATTCCAAGGCCCGGGTTGACTTCTGTTCCTAATCGTACTACCGCTTAGATCAACTGCAATATATTTTTTTCCTTTACGAAATATGAGGCATACCTTGAGCCAATTGGTTTATCAACTTTATAGACGGATTTATAAAATGACTGTGGTGCTATCTGGCTATGGATAACCTATATCAATAAATTCTATCGTCGGTATCGATTAGGGGTTAAATCACTTCGTTGTGGTGCTCCATATCCGAAGAGCCGCTGGTTCGATTCCAGCTACCGACATTTAGACCTGGGTGTTTAGTTTTTTCGTGACTCGTTTTACGGTGCCTTATGGATGTCTTAGTGGATCGACTCATCTGTGGCGGCCTACGGGAGAATGGATGTCTCGCTTTCAACTGTCAAGATGTATCAACGCTCTCTATAAATTAGGTCTCTCAGCCAGGCCCTTTATCATACCTTCTCATGAAATGTCCTCTGTAGCTGAAAGACCTTCTATCGGTTCGGTCAACGTCACTTTTCTGGGCACGGCATCCGCCCAACCGTCAACTACAAGGAACCACTCTGCCCTTGCTCTGCGCCTCGGGAAGGACGTATGGCTTTTTGATTGTGGAGAGGCAACTCAGCACCAACTACAGAAGAGTACAGTCAAGATGGGCAAAATCGAAAAAATCTTTATTACACATACACACGGTGAGCACATCCTGACTTGCTCTACAACACTCATTTGACCTTGAACGCTACAGGAGATCACATCTTTGGTCTGATACCCTTAATGGCCAGTTTGTTGAATGGCGCAGGTGGTATCACAGAGGGGGGAGAGGATCCAAGGCTTCAAGTCGACACCTCAACAGCAGTCCGTCTATATTTCATGAAACTTCTTCGAGTCTACAGTCATATAAACGAATCAAATTTAGGCTCTCGAGATCTATGGACCATTAGGCACGCGCGCCTATGTTCGTAACGGTCTTGCGTATACCCATACCCACCTTGGTGCATCGTATGTTGTGCACGAGCTACGATTTCCCTCCGACCCTCAATCCGGCGATTTCACAACGCTGTCTCCTCAACTCGCCGAATGTTCCTTTGGACGCAATATGCCCCACATCGATGGCTGCTGGACTGACATTTATAAAGACAAGATGGTATCTGTATCTGCTGCACCAATTCACCACTCTGTGCCATGCGTCGGATATGTTGTCATGGAGGCTCCAGTCCCAGGCAAGATCGACCCATCGAAATATATGCCAGAGCTGAAACGTACCATGACACCCATGTCAGTCATGCGCCGGCTTCAGCTAGGAGAAACTGTTGTTCTCAATGATGGAACCCTCCTTCATGGACCTCCACGCAGGGAGGGCCGCAAAATAGTGATCTTGGGTGACACTTATGATCCTTCACCGATATCTTCACTGGCCGAGGATGCCGATCTCTTAATTCACGAGGCCACGAACGCACATCTTCCGGGCGTCGACCCAACGACGAAGGATATAGACACGTACGAGACAGTCGAGGCCAGAGCAAAGTCAAGAGGGCACTCGACTCCTCAAATGGCTGGATTGTTTGCGAAGCGCATTCGGGCAAGACAGCTAATCCTTAACCACTTTTCAGCCCGGTATCCAGGAGATACGTCCCACGAGTCGAAGATGATCATGGATGCAATAGGACAGTTGGCAGCCTCGGAATTTGGGAAAGAGGTCGCTTGTGCGACTGATTTAATGAGCCTAGATATAGGTTTTAGCGAAAAATGAAAATACATCGCATGAAAAGCGAAATATAATCTTCTTAATCATCCGGAGGTTCTGAGAGTTCGCTGCTTGCATCAGTCGCTTCACCTTCCTCCAGCTCCTCGCGAGATTTCTTTTTGTTCTTGTCCTTTGGTTCCTCCTCGACTTCGCCCATCTCAATGTCGTTATCCTCTTCAATCATTCCCTCGCTTAGCGCAGTCTCTGTCACCGATTCGTGCATCAGTTTGTCTTCTTCGGCTTCTTCAGTGTTTATTGAGGTCAGACTGCTCTCGGCCGAAGCGGCGTCCACCGAGTCAAGGGCAGGCGTTTCTCTGCGTGACTGTGGTACGGAGGCCGTATCATTTTCTTTCCCTAGGAACCGCAAAGCGCTGAGCTCAGCAATAATACCATCAAGGGCGGACTTTTGCCCTTGAATAGTGCGATTTTGGGTATCGTGTTCTGATCGTATGGCCGCCATATCGTTTTCCAGAGATCGTATTGTCCTAATGAATGAGATTTAGATTTTTTCACTGAAATTTTTACGAGGGAACTCACGATTCCAGTTCGTCTCTGCTCGGCAGAGTATTCACCTTCTCAGCGACTGCATCATATTCGATTTTCCTTCGGCGCAGCATTTGGGCGTGCTCCAACGCAGTTTTTAGTTCTTCGATTTGTGCCTTGAGAGTCTCGTGTTCCTCGTCTTTCATAAGATGAGTTTGGAATTGCGAGACAAGAGGGCGCACATGCGAGCGTACCAAGACGTTGACGTTCTCGTTGATACTCTTCGACCTGTCGAGCCTCCGCTTCACAAATCATCACGCTCTTCTTCATGAGCAGCTCAAACGTCGCCAGTTCCACCAAGAAACCTTCTCTCGCATCATCCACAGAGTTTGGAGTGGAAGTTCCGCCTGTGACGAGCGGAACAATGGGAGTATGTGAAAGCGACGTGTAGTTGTGAAACCTCTTTATCATGCGTCGTAAGGGTCGTTCATCAATCGTTATTCGAGCAAGTATTACTTGGTCTGGATATGCATTGTCAATGTAAATTCAATTGAACGATTGCGAGATTGGCAATTCGCCCAACCCACCTTCTTCCTCAGTAGTCATGGGGGGTATGACGATTGGTTGCGCGGCCGTGTTGGTTGTTGAGGCGGCCATAATTGATAATTCTAAGACCTGAGAACAGGCAATAGAAAGAGGTTTGGTGCTTAAAACACGTTGCGGGCGTCAAGAGAGAAAAGCGGATCGTGGTGGTACCAGGAAAGATTATACGAGCATGTTGCCTAATTTAGCCTCCCTCATTTTAGCTCAAAAATCAAAAGTCGTGCACACACACGCCGTCACATGTCACAGCCCGCGGAACTCGTTGAATAAGAGTCCAGGTAAATTAATTCCATACAGAGGTGGTATATATTACTCCGGCACAGAAATAAATCCAAGTCTGCGACTAAGGGTCAACGTCTGGACTGGCCGGCAGACACAATTTTCCTCTTCGTCTCTTCCTCCAAATATGCCCAATGGGCTATCTCTTGCTGTAATTTCAAATGAGCGGTATGTTGCGTACCCTTCTGCGGCAGAGATAAGTATAACCACTCAAGGAGACCAGGCTACAGTATACGCACGCTGAGTCCCTGCAGCAAGATTCCGTAGATTTTAGATTGTTCCTTGGCTTTAGCCAGTGTGTCGTTGCCTTGTCCGGTGTGGCGGATAATGAGTTTTGCCACTTCTTGCCGCAACCGCAAGAGGCTGGAAGACATGCGTCAGAGACCAGAATAATATGGATTATGAGAATATAATACTTGGAAAAGATCATATTGTCGGCCTCACTATCGGTGAGGAAGACAAATGAATTGAAGAAAACGACGTATTGCCCACATATCTAAACAAATGTCAAACGTTATTCAAAGTCATGTCTCATGACCATAACTTACGTTTTCAACCATTGCATCGGTTGTCGTTGACGATCGACCGAAGTATCCAGAGCTGGTACCTTCGGCGAGCTTCTTGACGCCGTCGATATGTTCTGTCATGCCCTTTTGGAAGACTGGCCACATCTGGAGACTTAAGCCAAACACATATGTTTCTGCTGGAGGGCAATGTCGCTTTTGGATTTCGGCTACGATATCCTCTGCCAGTCGAATCATTGTGAGCAGGGGAATAGCTTGGGGTATAGGATCCAGCATTGAACGAACAAATGCCTACGAAAAAGCCAGTTAATATTAGTTTCTTCTGCCAGAAAGCGCACATACGGTACAATATTCCATGACGGGGTCCATGACTTGTTTCCATATTGCGTCAATTGTGGCTTGCTCTTCTTTTGACTTTGCAACAAAAGATACGAAGCCACCAAGACCAGGAGTAGTACTCGACAGAGGTTGTCGGGCTCCAAAATCATCAGACCCCGATGGTGATCGAAGTTCTGAAAATGTTCCGTCGGGTGACAACACTGCCGAAGGTGGTACTGGAGCTTGAGGTTCCGCTGGAGGTAATGCCGTCTGAGAAGTAAAGAAAGTCGACACAAAAGTGTATTCTGCTGTCGCGTTGTCCATGAAAACTAGAAGGAGCGATCGCAGAAGAGCTTCTACATGGTCTTTCTGAAGGCATTTGTCAGATATATAAGAACGAATGAAAACGATGTTCTTACATGGGCCTTATCATCGGCCATGTACGCAAGAGTAGCGCCAGGACCGTTAATCTTAGCATGTTGCAACCGCTCCAAGTTGATGCTCGCCTCTGAGTGAATATTCACTAATGATTCAAACTTCTCTACTGTTCTTGCCTTTATATCAACACGTTAGTAATTGGATATGCTGAGGATCGCAGAACTTACCTTGATTACACCAAGACTTCGAGCATACCGCCGAAAACCTGTCTCGTAATAAAGGCGCGCGGCACCGACATATGCACGTTGCAGTTCAGTCGCAACGGGCGGTGCTTGTCGTTGCAGAAATGCAAATAGCGGGCCGTACTTTAGCAGTACCGAGGTCTGGATGACTTGCATATTGGTAGTGACACTGCCTCGAATGGGCTGGAAAAGAGCCAGGAAAAAAACGCGAAGTTTCGTGGCCGCCTTGGGGAACGTAACGTCATTACCGCTATACATCCAACGAAAGTGTTCTGCTTACGACGATCCTTAACCCTTCTATGACTTCGCCGAGATCACGGGCGGCCTTGACTCGGCTACGCGCTTTTGACGTGTTCAGCCGTCTCTCGAAGTCCATGATAGCATCGATCCATGGTTCTCCGACGTTTGTGTCTAGTATGGTGCTAGCGAGCGAAGGTGGAATAGTAATCTCCGAGAGGAGGCTGGACAACGGCCTTTCGATTTTCTGCATATGAAAAGTCACAGTCAGCTACTCCCGGCTGAGCCTACGCAAGACGTAATACAGACGGACCTTTCTGCTTTTCAATCTGTTGTCGATATCTTTGCTCCTATCCTGCAACTCCGATATCTGCCCTGCTACGGCGGCGAGGTCCTTCTGGAAAGTTGATAAGAACGATTCGAGGTTGTCCAGCAGCGATACACTCGTCTGGGGCGATTTGCGTAAGCCGTGGCAG